GTGTCTACAAATCCCAAAAAAGTTGGGACAAGTAGCAATAAGTGGCTGGAAAAAGGAAATTGAACATGTAACAAACAGCTGGAAGACCAATTAACACTAATTAGGTCAATTGACAACATGATTGGGTATAAAAAGCTTCTTAGAGTGTCTGTCTCTGAAGCCAAGATGGTGAGAGGATCACCAATTCCACCATTGTTGCGCAGAAAGATAGTGCAGCAATACCAGAATGGTGTTACCCAGCGTAAAATAGCAAAGACTTTTAGGTTATCACCATCAACTGTGCATAACATCATCAAAAGATTCAGAGAATCTGGAACAATCGCTGTGTGTAAGGGTCAAGGCCGTAACACTCTACTGGATGCTCGTAATCTCCTGGCCCTTAAACGTCACTGCACCTCAAACAGGAATGTCAAGGAAATAACAGCATGTGCTCAGAAATACTTCCAGAAAGCATCGTCAGTGAACACAATCCACCGTGCCATCCGCCGCTGCCAGCTGAAACTCTACAGTGCAAAGAGGAAGCCATTTCTAAGCAGCTCCACAAGCTCAGCCGATTGCACTGGGCAAGGATTCATTTAAAATGGAGTGAGGCAAAATGGACGACTGTTCTGTGGTCAGATGAGTCACGATTTAAAGTTCTTTATGGAAGACTGGGACGCCATGTCATCCGGACCAGAGAGGACAAGGATAACCCAGGTTGTTATCAACGCTCCGTTCAGAAGCTGCATCACTGATGATCTGGGGTTGCATGAGAGCTGGTGGCCTGGGCAGCTTGCATGTCTGGAAAGGCAGCATTATTGCAGAGAACTATGTTCAGGTTCTAGAACAACATATGCTCCCATCTAGAAGTCGTCTCTTTCAGGGAAGACCCTGCATTTTTCAACAAGATGATGCCAGACCACATTCTGCAGCAATCACAGCATCATGGCTACGTAGGAGAAGGATCCGGGTTCTGAAATGTCCAGCCTGCAGTCCAGATCTTTACCTACAGAGAACATTTGGCCCATCATAAAGAGGAAGGTGCCACAAAGAGGCCCGAGACGAATGAACAGTTAGAGGCCTGTATTAGACATGAATGGAGAGCATTCCTATTTCAAAACCTGAGAAACTGGTCTCCTCTGTCCCCAGACGTCTGAGTGATGGAAGAAGGGGAGACGCCACACAGAGGGAAAAATGGCCTTGTCCCAAAGTTTGGGATTTGTTGACGTCATGACATTTTGAAACATCATATTTCTCCCTTAAAATGATAAATTCTCTCAGTTTAAACTATTGATCTGTGATTTGTGTTTCTATTGTGGATAAAATATTAGATGTTGGCATCTCCACATCATTGATTCAGTTTTTATTCAATTTGTTTAGTGTCCTAACTTTTTTGGAATCCGGTTTGTTTTTGATCCAGTAAAACTGGTTTATAGAGTCCAAACCAGCAGAACCAGAACATGTTATTATGACGTGTTGTTAGAATATTTCAGTCGGGCCTTCAGTCTCCAATCTGACCTTTGACCTTCTCTCTGCAGGTGTGGTTGGTGTCTGTGAAATGAACGCTGTGATTGGTTGGATGTGATGGTGGGAGGAGGAACTGCTGGTGCTTTTAGAAAACACAGAAACTTTGACTGGACCAAACCATAGAAGAAGAAAGCAGACTTTACCATGAAGATCCTCAGAGTGGATCAGTAGAATATCAGCTTCTGTCTGCAGTTTAGTGGCAACACAACTTTCACATCACAAACATCAGATCCAGAATAAAACATGGTTTCTTACCCTAATCGTTGTAATCTGCATTCAGGATCCTGTAGAAAACCACAGAGCTCCTTCACTCCAGAATCTTTCAGGTTGTTTCCACTCAGGTCCAGTTCAGTCAGATGTTGGTTGGACTTCAGAGCTGAGGC